TTCGGGGCTGGAGGGGCCTCGGCCGCCGTCCGGGGCCCGAGCGGCCTCTTGGAGGCCGGAGCAGTCGGGCGAGGCTCGCTGGACGGGTCGGGCGAGGCGCCCGCGGGAAGGTGGCGCTGGGCTCGGGCTTCTCCGAGGAAATTTCTCCCGCTCGTCCAGGAGCAGAAAGTTCAGCCCTCCCCGCGAGCTCTGGCGACGGGGGCAGGGAGCGCCGGGCGGTGATTGATCCCCGGGACTCGCCCCGACCGAGACCCCGACGCCCCCCGGGCGGCTGCCTGTCCCGCGTGGCCCGGAGGGGTCCCCCGGGGAAGGGGCTGCCCGGCGCTGCGCTCAAAACGGGCTGCCGCGAACTGAGGCGGCCGGCCCTTCCGCGCTCCCTGCTCCCGGCCGGCAGCCTCAGGTTGCTCCGACGCCTGCTGGACAGCGCCGCGAAAGCGCTGGGTCCCCGCGAAAGCGACGGCAGCGCCGCTCTGCCCGGGGGGCCTGGCTCGTTCGGGGCTGTCATGGGTGCATGGCGCTGTTTTCCGCCTCAGAGAAAGCCCCCCCCCCTTTCTTTTTAACTGAATCGGAGAGAAGACGAGAGTCTGTGCGGGTTTAGGCAGAACCCCCCCCCCGTGCCTTGTCAAAGCCTGTTACAGAATCCGTCTGTTTCCTGGATTGACAGAAGGCCCTAAACAGGCACTCTGGCTTCACCCAAGGAGCCAAGAGTCACGGGAGCCGAAGGAAGCCCCACAAACGGGGAGCCGATGGCGATGACAATGTTTAGATCTCCCTCCGGAGCCCCAAGTGGGACGCCTGGTGCTCCCTCCTCCAGTTTGTTCTCACAACAACAGCCCCCTCTGAGTCTAGTTGGGGTGCAAGTGCCCGGAGCAAAGTCCCTCGTGGAGCTGGGGGAACCTTTTGGGTCCAGGATGGTTCCAGTTCCCGACCAGCTTTTCAATCGCTGGTAATAATTGGGTGAGGTTTGATGGGGGCTGGAAAAGTGAGCTAACCGTCTCTGCCGCCTCTGGGGGGGACGAGGGGCTCTGGACATGAGCCAGGAAGGCAGGCTGGGGGTCTCCTTGCACCGGTGATGGTCAGCAGGGCGCGGAGATCATCCTTCCCAAGGGGGGGGGAGGAGAGCTTCAGTCCCCATATTTTGTAAACATCACTTTTGAATCTGAAGATATCCAAGCCTTTGTATTTTATCAGGAGTAAAGCTCTTTGTTGGTTTTCAAAGGATTTTATCCCCCCCCCTCCCAATTTTTCAATATTTATCAGGGAAGAATTTCATGGAGGGTTTTTTGTGTTCTGAAACACAAAATACATGAAATGAAAAGCATTTATTATTGTACAGCGGAATGGTAGCAGTACAGGAAACATTTGCCCTTAACTACCACAGCAAAACTGGAAAATGTTTTACTTCCCTTTGACTACTTTGAAACATTTCCACCATAAAAAGCAGGGGGGGCGGGGGGGCACGGAGCTTTTCTCTAAAAAAGAGGAATGTCTAGAATATGATTGCTTTTTGCATTTCTGGAATGTGTGTTGCTTTCACCTGTAACATGCTGGCACATGCCAGTTAGAAGGCCAGGGGCGGCAGGGGATTCCCTGCAGGCTCCATCTGCCATAATTTGGATGTCAGGGCTGCCGGTTTTTGTCTGTGTAGCTGTTATTGCTCTGCTGTAATGGATGCTTTTCATTTCACGCAAGGAGGGTGGGTTTCTGCCATCCACGGACTCCTAATGGCCAAAATGAGAAGGCTCCCCTTCTGCATATGCTACAAGTCTTTAGTGGTTTGGAATAAAGCAAAATGTGTCCTTTTTATGTGTTATTTTTATTTTCTTTTGTCGGACATTTGCTTTTCAAACCTAAAATCCTAAAACGTAGGATTTTCAACAGCAGTTACTTCGAGTCTGGAGAATTTGAGAACAGAAAAGTGGGTGTTCTCACATCAGGGGTTGGGTCCTCATCTCTCCACAGCTAAGAAAAGCAGCGTGGATGAGGTCAAAAGCAAAACTGATTAAATAAATGGGCAAAATGCAGGTATGCAATTGTGGGCTGCTGTGGAAGCTGATGACAAGACTGGCATTTCTTGTTGCTGAAGTGAGATTATTTAAGCGCAGAATACTTCCTACGCATTTAAAACACCCTAACGTTCCATGGGTTCAAGTATCAGCATTTTGAACGATTGATCAGTGAGCAATTTTAGTACAAGATGGAAAGATGCTACATCGTTTTGGAGAAGCTGCAGGATCAGAAGCTGCTTCAGCACTGGGAGAGTTGGAGTCCAGGTTAGAAACGTAACAATAAAACCAATAGGTACATTGAAATAACAGCTGGAAAGACCTGGCTCTCTAATGCCCAAGCATTATGCTTTGTGCTGGAATGGCATGAAAAGGTCTATATTCCTTTGAATTCTCCAGAGCTACTAATCAGGCAAGGTATTATAAAAACAGGACAGGGGAAATAAGTGAAATAAGTTGCCAAATTTGGTCACATCTTCCATTCATGAGCTCTACAGCTCCAAATCAGTTGCAAGGTGAGGATTCTAGGCTAAATGCAGAGTCAGCAGCAGCTATTGCTGGCATCAGAGTATACCACATTTTGAAGGGCGATGGCTTATTGGGACCTATTTTAAGAAAGAAATAAGGAAAGGTACTTAAAAACTATTTGGTTCTCTGACAGTGTGTTTCAATCACTTTTCTGCCTGCTGTAGTTTGGGATTTGATTTACATCTGAAAGCTAAGAAAACCATTCCAGATGGGAATGAATTCGGAGCAGGTAGAGCCTGAGGCACAATGGGAGAAAAAGGCTTCCATTAGCTACCGTTAATGGAAACCCCACCTGCGCAGGATGATTTCCTGGTGGTTTGGGTCTGTTGTGAAGAAGAATGGAAAGAATGGGCTGAGTGGACTCCAGGAGGTAGGATATGTGATTTTCAAACACTGAAAAGAACATCAGACAGAATAATTCATCCATCAGTTCCAGAAATATAGGGCTCAGTTGTGGTTGCAAGTCAAGGACTACCTGTATTCTTATTTTTAATTCTTTTTTGTAGGCATGAGCCTCATAGAGTCATTATATGAGATAGCTGGCCATCTAAGTCCAGTAAAAAAACAAATAATTTCTATAAAAGATTGTACATACAGGAAAGGCAAAGTTTCATGCACACCCTTATCAATGCCACTGATCACCAAATCGCCTCTGCCAACTCACTGCCACCAAGTCAGCACAGACCTAGGGTAATTGACCCCCACAGCTAAACCCTTTTCTCATACTTCAACCCTACCACAGCGGTTATTCACTGACTGCGAAAATCCTGACAGCCACTAGATGGCATCTCACAGATGCATCTCTCAGCTGCCACTTAGTAGTCTGCACGTTGAATAATTAACTGGTTGACCATTATTTCAAGGAATAAAAAAAATTAAATCAGCAAACAATAGAATGGGGGACAAAACTGCAGCACAAAGAGCAATCGCAGTGTTGTGCATACTAATTGTAGGAGGCTTTTCGTGTTGGGAATGGGGTTGGGTGGGACTGGACTTGAAGCCCTGAGAATTGCCGGTCACAATCAAAACCGTACGGCAGCCCAGAAGCCCTTTGGGTAAGGGTCCACTGTGGGGTCTGTGAGATTTGGGGCAAGGGGCTTCCTGCCAGCTGCAGATGGGAAGGGAGCAGGGCAAAGCAGCGTAGTGGAGGTGGGCTGGGCGTCCAGGGATTTCAACTGGCAGGAGAAGGAGAAAGCCCTCCCCAACATCTTTAAAGGGGAGACGCATGGCTCCAGATGAATGTCAACGTCTCTCTTTATTGGTTGTTTAATATTCTCTTGCTACATTTCAACCCATACACCCCTCTCTCTTTTAAAGGTACATGGCGATTATCCATCCTCTGCAACCAAGGCTATCAGCTGCAGCCACCAAGATTGTCATCTGTGTTATATGGGTGTTGGCTTTGCTACTCTCCTTCCCTCAAGGATACTATTCCACCACAGCGGAGCTGCCTGAGCGAGTGGTGTGCTTTGTCGAGTGGCCGCAAAATCAGACCCAGGTCTCTCCAATAACGTGAGTTGGGCCTCGCTGTTGTCATTGCTGGAGATGGAAAGATCGTGCTCTGTGGCTCTCTTCTCAGAATGCGCTCATTATTCCAGAGAAGCCAGATTCTCAGGTTTCACCCCTTCTGATTTTCTGGCCTCCCTGTACAGTATCTGAGTGTTGCTGCCATGGGTCAGATGAGGCCTTGGCTGCATTTCCTTCATTGCAGTAGACAAGGGATAGTCCACCCGCTCATTTTCAAATACCATATTTGGCCAAGAAAGTACCACCAGGCAGTTAAACATCTTTATTACAGAGGTTTCTGTTTATTTTTCTTTTCTATTGATTGATTTAGCTGCCTGTCTCAGGAGAAGTCTATTTGTAATTTAGAAAGGAATTAAACAAAAAAAAACAAAAAACAAAGCTCAAACAATGGAGAACTATGGTGAATTTAGAATTGAAGGGAAAAGCAAACTCCTATACATAGGGAAGAAAAACTAAATGCACAGGTACAGAATAGCTGTATTAACCTTGTGAACGCTAAAGCTTCCTCCTTCCGTTATGTATTCAAGATGGACAGTGATTAATACTTATATGTTAGTTATATGTAAGGGTGTAGGTCTATACATATGTTGTATATAGTATGTTTAAATGTGTGTTATGTATGTTTACACTTTGAGAGCAATCAACTAACCTAGGAAGGATGTCCACGGGGAGAGGGAAAAGATATCATATGCATTGTCTGAAATGGTACAGGTTCTCCTGCTTGAGCAAGGGCCTCGACTAGAAGACCTCCATGGTCCCTTCCAGCTCTATTCTATTCTAGCATCATGCAAATGCCACCAAACATATAATACATGGAAATCAGGGATGAAAATGACACAATTCAAAATGGTACTACATTGATATGGAGAGGAGTAAGCAGTGGGGTACCACAAGGCTCCATCTTAGGCCCAGGACTCTTCAATATCTTCATAAATAACTTAGATGAGGGTGTCGTGGTTCCGGTAGATGCAGTCTTTTCCCTGGCTGAATCTTGGTCTCCAGGTAATGGAGCTACATTCAAACTGAACACTGGCAGTTGTTGCCTTGGCCGCCGTTCAGGTCACTTCCAGTCATATGGCCCCCTCCCTCTGCCAAGTCCAGTGCTGCAAAGGCCAGAATAACTTCTCATCAAGCAGGTTGCCCTGGATAAACTTCTGGCAACTTTTGTTGCTGCAGCAAATTAAAAAATGAACCTAGTGTGATGTCAGTGTTTATTCTTGATGTGATCTCTCATATTTCAGCATCTGCCATATCGAAAGAGCTGAAGGTCGCAGTTGAGTAAATTCTGCCTCTCTGGGAAAAGGTCCAGCTCTTATTCACGTCTCCCTCATAGCAGCTGAATCGCTCCCAGCCCAAGATAAAGAACCTGGGGCTTCAGCCCACATAAGGAAGGTTCCAAGTCTTAATTTTGACACATTAGTTAAGGTTAATGCTTCTCCGTTACGGAACTGAGGTTTTATACCTATGCGTGCTCAGTTCATTCATTCTCTCCCATCATCAAATCATTCAGCCTCTTGGAAGCCATCTTAGCCAGAAGGGACAGTCAACCATCAGAGAAAAGGCATGTCTTTTGGGTGAAACCCACTTACTGGGGACAGGAGATGAGGGAGGAGGGCCTGGCTTTGAAGGAGGCTTTGGGGCAGAAAGGAAAGGACTGCAGGTGGAAGGGAGAGCCCTGGGGCAATGCAGGGCCAGCAGCCGAGATACTTGTTCTGTCAAAAGGACTTTTGTTCACTCCACGTATTTAATTTGATCACTGACTTTGGGGGGAGAGGGGGGTAAGATAGTGAATTGAACCATAAATTAATCCAATGGCCTAGTTTCATGCAACATCCCACAAAATTAATGACATCTAATGCTAAAAGTATGCTAACATGATGTACAGATGCAGTCAATACATCTTCCCTTGTGTAAATATTGCCAGGTTAGGATTAGATCTCTGTCAAATAAATTAGAAACCTCAGCAGGGCCAGATTCTTCCAGCCTAGTGCTGGGAATATATTGTTCTCCCTGTAATGCACAACAGAGGCCTAAGCATTCTGTGAGGGTGAATCTAGGATGAATAAATCATCCAAAAGACATACTAGCAGGCACTTCATTTACCTCACATGAGCTGAATTCAGACGTAGTGAAGAAGGGGACATATCTACACATTGTTTGATAACAAGGTACAAGAAATGAAAAATGTGCACTTATTTCATCCCCAGAACAAAGCTGCTCCCTCCAGAATATTCCAGTTGTTTGGAACGTGGCTCAAGATCCCAAAACAAACAAACTCACTTGGAATTCCAGTAACAAAAGTTTTATTCAAAAGAAGCGTTTGCAAAGGCCTGCTGAACTGAAACAAACACAGGAGTTCAGTCACATCTCCAAGAGCTGTTTGACACATTTTTATATCCTACCCCCGACGCAGATTCCCCCCCTCCCCTATCGCACTCAACACCCCTTTCCGAATCATCCGATAAACTATCTGGACCGCCTAAAACCGCTGCCCCCTCCCCTATGTTCCAAGAAGCCCCTCTGAGCACATCCTATCTATCACCATCTAGGCTCCTGTAGTGATTTCTGTATTTCCTCTGCTTGCTGTTTAGATTAGCTAGCCACTTCTGCTTTTCTTATTGGTACTTGTCAGAGTTTATGACTTTCAGGCGGCTTCTTCTATCAACCTTCATTAGAAATTTCTGAATAATACTTTATTCCTTTCACACTGGAAACCACTGTTGTTACATAGGAAAAAGAAATATGTGAATTCGTAATAGGATCTTGGAACAGAATGTGAATATGGGCCAGAAGAAAGATATGGTTGCCAAAAAGGCAGATTCAATCCATGGGAGCATTGTTTCCAAACCATGGAGAGTTACAGTTACACTTGAATCTTTACTGGTCATAGATCAGTTTTTGTGCCTGTTTTAAGAAATACCCAGAGACGCTAGAAAAGGTGCAAAGAGTGACCTAAGGGGTGGGCCCCTCTACCCTAAAGAAAAAGACAAGCCAGGGGCACATTTGTTTGCTTATTTATTCAATTTCTATAGCTGCCCAACTCAGTTTACAATTCTAAATGACGATGTCCCCCTGCAAATTCCTGACAGGATATCACTGAGAAAGAAGTTTAGAACTTGGCAAAATGGCTCACATTACAAAGAGGCAGATTTTGTTTCTGTGGGTGAAGAGAGCTGTTTGCTAGTGGGACCGGTGGGCTTCCCTTCGTTGGCTGAGTTCAAGCAGGCCTCTGCCTGGGGTCTTCCTTTGGACTCCTGCACTGAGCCAGGGGTGGGACTGAATGGCTCACAGGCTCCTTTCTAATTCTGGGATCCTGGGATCAGGTGGGCTGCAGATCATGGTGGGGAAAATCTCTCTATGTGGCTGTTAAGAGTTGATGGTATGTAGTCTGTATTGGGGAGGGAGGGCTAGAAGCATTAGATGTGGGCTAGTATAGTTGTCAGGTACATCCATCATCAGCCTAAAGATTGCGTCTCTTCCTCTAAGGAGCAGCCCAAGTTACACCATCATTCATTTGCCATGACATTGCAGTGATGTTCCAAAGTAGCAGCCACATTTATATCAAGAATAAAGTGGAGAGGATGTTCAGACTGAGGGGGGGGGGGGTAACACCTCTTTCGTGGTCAGACTCTTAACTTGTGTCCCATTTATTCCAGGTATCAGATCTGCATGACTATTCTAGCCTACATCTTGCCTCTCATAATGATAGGCTACGCCTATATTATGGTGGGCATTACCCTATGGGCCAGTGCGATACCAGGGGACTCTTCGGACCGCTACCATGAACAAGTGTCTGCCAAGCGCAAGGTAAAGTCTATCAGAAGAAACTCAACCAGAAAGGCAAGCCCCATCAAAGAATGCAGTTCGGGTCAGGGTCCAGATGTTAACTGAATAGACAGAGCGAGAAACAGGTAGCCAAGATTTCTTGCCAACCAGCTGGAGTGATTTGAGATTGGTTTAGATGGGAAAGCACTGGCCCGCTGGATGGCACCATGAATGCCAGAGAGCATGACTAATGGTAATGGATGCTAGGAGTTGTAGCTGAGCAAGAGCCCAAAGACTTTAGCTTCTCCATTCCCATTCTACAGTATGTCATTGAGTTACATAAATTAAAAGTTCGTATATTCTAACTCCCATTTTGTAACTTAGCTTGTTCTCCCAAAGGATCAAATAAACATGATACCATTAGCGTGCTGAAGGAGCTCTTGGCTTCTTCGAAGAGCGAAAGGAAGAATCAGAAGGATCACAACTCTGACAGTGGATATGATGTCACCCTTGACATCTTCCCGCAGCTGGCCTGCTGTTCCCATTAGGGGAAGGCAAAATTCAAGCCCCAGAGCTTTCTCTCCTTGCCTGGCAGTGCAGTTCTGGGAACCCCAGGGGCCTCAGCACCACGAATCAGTGGCAGCAGCCTTCTTGCCTCTTTGTGGGGACTTCCTGTTAATGGTTATACTTGGTGGCTTTCCTTGTCTGGCAGGTTGTCAAGATGATGATCATTGTGGTTTGCACCTTTGCCATTTGCTGGCTGCCTTACCACGTCTACTTCCTCCTACAACTGTTCAACAGTGAGATGTTCTCAGAAAAATACATCCAGCAGGTCTACCTGGCTATCCTGTGGCTGGCCATGAGCTCCACTATGTACAACCCAATTATTTACTGTTGTCTCAATGACAGGTAAGGCCTTCTTCTTCGGGTGTACTCATGGCAGGCTCCACTGAATAGTAAAACCGAATCAGGTTTACTCCCATGTTTATTGTGACCTAACATAGTCATTTCATTGATGCCAAAGTCCAAAGCTTTGCATCTTGAATGGGCTGGTTTTAAAATATTTGGAAGTCAGTAAGCCTACTAAGCAAGAGCCTTTTTAACCTTGGCCTCTGAACATGGGAATTTTTTGCAAATTGTTTCTCTCCAGAAGATGTAATGTTTTCCCTTCCACTAGACTAGTGCACGGTTGCCCAGCAATCAGTGGGCTTGGTTACCTCTCTAAAGAAAAAAGCTCACCTAAGATTAGAAAAAACTGGGTAAAAGAGATGGATTGGTTAGTCCTTCTCTGAAGAAGCAACAATTGTGTTCTTTTCAACACAAAGCTGCGTGAGTTGAAATGGGGAGGCAGGATCGCCTGGAAGAAGCAGCTCCGTGTCCAGACTCTTCCTTTGCACCCCACCTTCACGGGTTTGTAGCTCTTGCAGTTTCACAACATGTAAGTTGAAAGTGTGAGGAGGGCTGTCAGGAGAGTGGGACGTCTCTGCTAGACTCCTCAGAGTCTGATGTTGCTGTGGGGGAGCATTTCCTTTTTGTACCCAGGATGCAAAGTAGATAACATTACAGTAAAAACATACAAGTTAACATAATTTATGCAAACTGGACTCTGTTTTTAACAGCACAGAGAATTCAGCTTTCCTTAGTACGGAATGAATGTTAGATATTAAATACAGAAGACCCGTGAACTATTTCAGCTCCCAGGATCAGGACAAGCGCAGCCTTTCCCAGGCTGAATGGAAACCCAGCCGGTCCCGGAAGCCAAGTGGAGGCTTGATGGCTCCCGGGACGGCTGTGACAGGCACCAGGCAGGCTCTCCTCATGCAGCTGATCTGCTCTGTCCCCTCAGGTTCCGGGTGGGCTTCAAGCGGGCTTTCCGGTGGTGCCCCTTCATCAATGCCAGCGAATATGAAGGGCTGGAAATGAAGTCAGCGAGGTACCTGCAGGCCCAGAGCAGCATGTACAAGGCCAGCCGGATGGAGACGACGGTCTCCTCGGTCACTGCCAACCCAGAGGAGGAACTGGATGATGGCAGCAGACCCAGGCGCCCCTCTGTGGATCTGACCTCCAACGGCTCTTCCCGCAGTGACACGAAAACCATCTCGGAGAGCCTGAGCTTCTATTCCAATACGCTTCCCTGAGCAAACTCACAACTTAGCCACAGCGACACCATTTCCATCCCTCTAATGAAGCCACAACCAACCCCCAACAATCAGGTCCTTCCTGTGACTGGCCAGTGAGCTTTCCTTCTCGCTCCAAAGGGTTCTGCCTGATGTTGCTGTTCTCCACGCATAAGAGGCTTCCTGGTCACGGATCCTGTGTATTCCTCCCACCTGGTCTTTCCTCCAGGATGTTTAGGTCCTCTGGTCATCTTCTCTCCATCAAGTTGCCATTGTGGAAGGAGCAAATGTGACTGAAATGTGTTTGGGAGTTTTTGGAAGGGCGCAAATGAAATGTGTACAAAGTTGCAGTTTAAACATTAATTCTTCTTGGAACTTAATTCAAAACCCATTTCTACAACAGAACATTTGAATTTATAATATTTTTAATACTATTTTGTTCCATTAGAGGACTTTCAGTTACTTTCCTTGAGTAACTGGTATACTTCCAGGATCACTTTTCTTCCATCCGTTCATCACTGTGTTTTACCAGGGTTGGGGAGAGGTCCTTGACCACTTCTAGTGAGGTGAATTAATTCTATTTGAGGAGCTCTGCCTTTACCATAAGATATGGTTCGAGGCTGTGCTCAACATTTTCTTAGTGCTTAGTCCCCTCAGTGCAAACATTAGAACCATTAAGTGTAGATAACCACAAGAAGAAAGGTTCAACTCTGTTTTCTATTAGCAAGAAAATGCTCTTCTTCTTTCATAGGAAAAGGATAACCCATGCATAGCAGCCCTACAGCCATCCACCCAAAGCATCATCTGGGATGTTCCAGAATCTCCCAACATGACCATGTGAATTGGCCATAACATGCTTGAAACTTCCTTGACGTTTGCGGATTACGTGACTAGCAAAGCAGAGAAGAGGGAAGGGCTGTCACCTGTCTACCTGCAAGCATCAGGAAGGATGCCTTTTTGCAACCAACTCAGCTGAGCAGCTGGCAAAGGACCAAAATGAATGTAATGTGATTGTAATGCAGAGCCTGTTTTAGAAATTCCGAGGCTACAGGAGGCACCTGAAGTCTCTCACCATGGCCGAAGTGCTGCATCAGCTCATTCTTACAAAAGTGACAATAGCACAATATTAGCTCTGTTACACAGAAGAGAGTGGGACGAACACTTGCCCAAGCCAGTATGAAAAACCTTCACTAACAAGATTGCAAACTAGAGTCAGTGGTTCCGTTACCTGCCATCTTTGAACATATGTCTGTCTGCATCTATCTACAATACCTTTATAACAAAACTCTTGTGTGGCAGAATATTTTTCATTGTGTACTGTGTTGTGCAACCACACAGCAGCTAGGAGGTAATTTCTGACTGTCCTGAAAAATGTTACAACCCAGTTTTCCGCAGACACAAAGCTGAGCCCAACAGTTGTCCAAAAACTCCTGCAGTATTTCCACAAATGGCAAACGGTCAATGTCACGGAACACACGTTGCCCATTCCATCTGCATCAAGGTCCTCTTGCAAACATGCAATAAAGAAAATGATTAAGTCCAAACCATAATACAGGCCAGAGTCTGCATTCGTCATACTTGATGTCCTTGGGCAGAGCTGGGCTGTGTATCCATTTCTTGTGTTTCTTGATCTCTCAGCAACTTTTATTTACACCGTCTTCCAGATTCGCAGCAGGTCTTGGAAGAGGCGCCACCATCTTACAGGGGTTACCTTCTTTCTCCTTGAGTGATTTCAGTTGGTGTTCAGAGGTGAGACATTTGTGAGGTGCCTCAAGCTCAAAGCTCTTCATCCTTACAGATGAACCTGCTGGATGAGTTTGGGATTTGGTATCTCATCAGGATGATGATGATGATATCCAACTATACATCTCAACTGCGGACTATTGAAGTTGAAGCCTCCAGACAAATCCCAAGCTAGGATTTGATGGTGAAGAAAAGCTCAGGCTCAATCCCGACGAGACTGGGTGATCAGGAACATTTGGAGCCCCTGGTGCTGGTGGCTTTTGATTTGTAGCCTTGATAAGGCTCTATTTCCCCATTTCAGACTGATGTACAATTTGGGGTCTTCTGCAACGCACTCTGCATGGGGCTGCTGTTGAAGATCAGCCACTGGTCCAGAACAGGGACTAAATCAGCCCGAGCCAGGTATTCCTTGTGAGGAGGGGCAGGGCAGCCTCCTTGCCAACTGCCTTGCAGATCTCTTCAGAGCTTCTCTCCGCTCCACTCTCTGTGCCCTCGAATCTGGTGGGTGAGGCAGGGGTTCCTCATCAGAGGGGATCTGCTGCCTCCCATCGCCACTGCCTGTCTGCAGCCCATCCTCCCCTGCATCTGTGAAGGCAGGCAGCAGTTCCCTGTCCAATAGGCCCCCTCCCCCAATGCCAGAGGGGCCTGGGACAGCTCCATCCCCAGCCCCTGGTCTCTCCAGACATTCCAGGGGACACAGGGATGCCTGTCAGATGGTCCCGGTCCCAACTCCTCCTGCAAATCAGGATCTGATGGGGACGTGACAGGCAGTGAAAGAGGTCACGTTTCATCCAGGAAGCCCCAAGTGACCATTTTTACCCCAGGCCCCAGAGTCTCAAGCCCATGTTTGCTGATTCCTGCAATTGTACCAGAAGTGCCAGAATTTTTATTCTTGCCATTTGAGTCATGTTCCGTGCGATGCTCAGAACAAATTACCGCACATATTCAAAATATTAATATGTGTGCTTACATATTGTCCCAACTTGTCACCATGTTTTTGCTCAACTTTCTGGATTGCCTCATAAGTCACTCTGCTCATATTATTTCCAGATTGCTTCATTTGCACAGCCCCTCATGTCCTTCCGGATGGATGGCAAATTCTCATTAATACTAATGAAGGCTCTAACCTGGGGGAGCTGTTGGAGAATTGATTACTTATCACACACACACACACACACAAACACACACACACACACACACACACTCTCAGAGAGAGGGAGAGGTTGAAAGGCACTGTCTTCTAGTACAAGTAGAAGCTTATTCCCATATTTGAGTTGGCCCCAGATACTTTCAGGAGTGGGGGGGGCAGGGGGGCAGTTTGTCCCTTTCTGTTGAGCATAGAAAGGCTCGTTGCTAACCTCGTTGCCTCTGCTGTCCTGCTTCGACAAGTGCCTGTAAGTCGCTGGAGATCACCCCACACACAAAAGTGTTTTCCAGGGGAGAAGTGCAGAGCAGCAGAATTGTGTGCAGCCAGGGAGCTTTTTGATTTTCATGGAAAATATGCCACTCTCATTTTGTTTTCAAACCCCAATAAAGTGGTTCACAAGCATAACAAAGGGGGAGAAGCACTTAGAAGACGGCATTGTTTAAAGAAACCAGATAAGACAACAGGCATGGTCAGAATAGACATGAAGAAAGCAGAGAAGGGTGTACAGAAGTCAACACTGCAGATGAATGCAGAAGTCAAGATGCAGTTGAGTTCCCACCCTTTTTTTTTGCCATGGAAGGAAACCAGCTAAACCTTTCAAACCCTGCCTGTCGGTGTCCCTGCTGTGGTATAATCCATAACAGGGCACTTAGGGTGGCAGAACGGTTGGGCTGTTTCAAGGCATGTGTTGTGTTGCCTCATGCTTAGCTGCACTTAACCCACTTAACTGCAAGCCTAGTTTGAAAATATATGTGTTATATTGACTTCAAATGTGTTATAAGTCTACCCAAGTTGGTTTTAACCTAATACAATGTGTTGTGTGAAACCAGTTGGAATAGCAAGGTGGTTTTTCTTGTCTTTCAATAATCTGAACAGGAAAAAAATTTTTGGTATAATTTTCATTTTACTGTAATAGTAATGATTGCTAAAGGGACACAGGTGAAAGCTACAGATGAAAAATATTACCTATTGGGATCATCTCAATCCCAGCTTCACAGAATGAGAAAGACTTCTTTAAAAAAAAACCAAAAAACTCCCATGTGGCTACTTGTAGATTTCATTACCATATCATTAGCTATTTTTGAACGTACCAGCTTTTTGAATCAACTGATGCTGTGTAGAAAAAGGTGCAAAGGAAACAATCAGACATCCTCTTGCAAATAAGATTTCATTAAAATTGTTTACATAGTCGCTTAGTCATTTTCAGGGGAAGAAGAACCTTTGAAGAGCTAAAGAAGCATTGGGATTCCAGGCACAACAGAATAACTCAAGCAACATGACTGAAAAAGAGAACAGCTTATTTGTTCTCTGGGATACAAGATGCATTAAATCATTTCAGGCAATCAACTCAAGGTTTCTTGCCCAGTGTGAGCAACCTCCTCCATCACCCCTTCCTCGCTAGGCAGGTTACAATAATGCACCCAGGTGGGTCTGCCTGTGGCCTGCACTGAGTGGCAATTTCAGCTGCTTTTTCAATGCTACGAGATAACTAAAGTCACATTTATATTAAGCCAGAACCCAGACAAGGTTATATTGTTATCTCTGAGGTCTGCAAACAGTCACTTTGGCCAGAGGGAAAGCCATGTAGATCTAAATAAATAAATAAATAAGCAAGCAACTTCACAGTTTAGGACCACTTCTACAAAACTTTCTTGATAATCCACAGCTTGGAAGTTCTGTGGATACTGAAGCACGAAGTGCCCAAGCCTACTTTAGCCTAGTCTCATGAGTTATGCAAACACAGCTTTCCCACGTCCTGTTCAGGGCTCTGAATCTTCCTTTTAGATCTCTTGAGGGACCTGAAGGGATCCCTGTGGGTTGGAGAGTTCCAGGTAATCTTGCCAGGACTTTTTCTCTGCCACTAACTGACCAGCCTGGCCAGCTTTAGTCTTGAACAGAAACAATCATGTCAGATCCACCTGATGGTCCTGCCATTACTAGATGCAGAAAATGTTTATTTCTTGAAGGAAAGCAAAGGCTCAGAATGAACAAAGACTTGCAACAAAAGTCAAAGTTAATTTTAAAAAAGTTTCTTTCAACATATAAATAACAAAAAAAGTCAAAGAAACAGTCAGTCCACCAAAGAGAGAAGATGGCAAGGACATAACAGGCGGTAGAGAGAAAGCAGAGC